GAGGAGGGGCAGAGGAGCGAGAGCCACACGCGGTATTCTCTGGCTGGCAGGTAAGACAGCCCTTTACAACAGGCTTGCTTTCCCTCCTGGCTCCTCCCAGACCACTCTGAGCAGTGAGATGTTATGACACATCTGTTTGCTCCACCAAGAATAGCAGCCCCAAAGGGGCTTACGTGGTACCCAGTGCAAAGTGTCTTTGAGGCACACTGACAAAACTCCCACCAGACAGAAGCAGAGCTGTTACCATCTGAGTAACATCTTAAGAGGGGAGGTTTTGTGTATCCACAGCTCCAGTGAAGGTAACAGAATGAACGCTTTCCTGGAGACCAGCACCAATATGTATGCTCTCAGATTGGAAAAAGGTAACTAGGCCAGCCAGGCAGTGAAGGGGCAAGAGGAGCAGGGTACAATTCCATCAGCAGACTACAACAGAGCATAGCTAGTAAGACCGCAACACTCACCATTCAAGGCTATTCCTTCGAGCACAGCAAGGGCAGAATGAGTGCTAAAGGCCACGAATAAGGAAGAGCCAATGTGCCTTACCCACATCTGAAAGCAGGGCAAACATTCAGAAGCTCATGTCAGTGCTGTCTCTACCAGGCACAGAACCACAGCAGCAAACATTGACAGGACATAGCACAAGACCACCAACCATGCCTGAAAATCCTGCCCTAATGACCTAGAACCTAATGTGGGTATTTTGCTCTTTGCATGTCTTAATGATGCCCATCAAATTAATGAAATTTCTTTTTTGCCCTTAGAAGTTTATATGGGGAAAACAGTGAATTACCTGACAAACATACCATAAACACATGCTGCAAATTTTGCAAGAGTCAAGGGCATTCTGACTTCAGTCGAAGCCAAAATATGATTTAATACAACTAGTGTGAACACTTAATTGCTTTCAACTGAATTCAATACTAGCCTGTCCCAGGAAATCATATCAGAAGTTCCCCATTCATCCCACATGGCTCACCTCCAGTGTTTAAGATTTAAAACTGAAGTTTCTGCTAAGAAATCCAGAGCATGTCAGTGGAGCAGAGAGGGAAAATCAAAAAAAGTGAAATTTAATTAATATATTCATCAAACAGATCATTTATCTTGTACTATTATAGCTGGTTTAATCCTACAGTGAGGTCTTCAGAACCCTGTAGACTCCTTTTCTCCCCCCTAGCTGACAGCAGATCAGTTCCACCCAGCCCTCTGCGTGTCTACAGAACTACCAAACCCCAGCCCAGGGAGATCTCTGCAGCCCTAGCGAGTTCGAACACTGGTTACCTACTATGCATCCCTCCTACCATGGCTTTCTGAGAAGTATACATCAATAATGCATTTAGACATGCTTTTCTTCTCTGGCAGATTATTTTGAACAGTCACCACAATGATTTCTTTTGAATCTTTTATCTGATTTTCACTGGTTTGGTAACTGGTCAGCGTGATTGTTGCAACTCACAAGCAAGCAGCACAACAATAGCTGAAAAGACGTAAATGGAACTTGCTGTGCTCCACACAAAACCAAGTTATTTTTGAAGCAATGATATGGCTTTTAGTCAAATAACTACTTCACAGGATTTCTTTACTGAATAAAACACTGGAAGGAAGAATGAAAGCAAAAGCCTATCACCTTTTTCAATTCCAAAGTCTTCGGTCAAGAAACACTGTTCGTTCCTGATGGGACAATATTGGCTGTGTACTAAAGCAGAAATTTCACGACCTACTGTTTAAGTTCTTGTTGCTATCAGCTCAGGAAAACAGTCAGAGGTAAAAGGTCACCCTAGGTGCAAAGTGAGAACAACAGGAGTATGAAATAGAGGCTGGAGAAGCAACACAAATACAGCAGAAATGCATAAACAATTCACTTAAAAACTTTATTTGAAAGTTCAACAATTAAGAGAAAATACATCACAATTGCTTTAGTTTTTAAAAGATCCCAAAATAAATTACAGAAAAGACTTGCACGGTTCTAGATATTAAAAAGATAATAAAAATGAATGGCGCTCTCATATGTCAAGATTAATCCTTTTCCATTTTGACTATATTAAAAGTTGCCTGTGCAGGGATTATTTTTATAGCTATGGCAGAACACAGTACAGTTCTCCGGTCTTGATGCCTCAGTAAAGATTTAGAGGCCTAGGCACTTAAGGGCAAAAAGAGATCATCGAGAGAGATGACATCCCATAACAGTCAGATCTCGATATCCACTCGTGCGATCTCTAACAAAACACCACTGCAAATTGCAAACGGTTTTAATTAGGCAACATTATCCCCTATACGTGGAACAGAAAGTGTGCTGTTAGATTACGCAGGTTACAGCGCTGTTTAATTTTAATTCAAGACCTTGACGCCCCCACAAGGTTCCCAGTGCTTTCTACAGAAGACATATTTTTCAGAAACTGAGTATGTTTGTATTGGGCCTACCTTGACAGGTTTGAGCCACACTGATTTTTACTGTCTTTAGCTCCCTGTTAATGACAAACATAATGTTTTCCAAAATAACTTTTTCTTCCTTCATTACTCCACATTTCTTCCCAGACTTGCAGGTGCTGGCATTCAAGTATAGAAACACTGAGTGAAACCTAGCGTCCAATTACTGCTCCTTTCAATACATTCCATTACAGTATATAACAAAACATTAAAGGCTACTGATACTGTGGAAGTTTCTTCTGCTGTACCACACCAAACTCCTGCTGTGCAGTGAGCATAAAATTATTTTCCAAACTAAGATAGGAGTCTGAAGGCCAGCTCAAGTTAAGTATCAGATTTTCGATAGTTAAGAGATGTCAGACTCAAATTTAGGAAGGTCTAAACACATTTTCATTCATCCCAGAAAACGTTTGCTCCTTTTCACGCTGATTTCTGTCTGTGACTTTGGATCATAGCAAAATATTATCTCCTCTTTATCCCAAACCAGTCTATTGACAGCATATATGCTCAGTTAAAACCAAGTCTTTCTACTCTGTACCCTAATACTTTTGTATCGCTCACTACAGCACAGTAAAAGAACGACATCTTCATGATGGTTGCTGTCCAAGTATCTCCTGACAGGATAACAGCCAGGTAGGTATTTTCTATCAGTCTCAGTCCTGACACACTTCACACTCTCCCTTTAACGTGTCAGGGCCCTCAGCTCTAGTTACTCTCTCTGGAGGGATCCATGACAGAGTCACAGCTACAGACTTGAAATACGATACATAACCAACTCTCATTTGCTCTGCCTCTATTTAACAAAATCACTCTTTTATTACATCACTTCCAGAAAAAGGGGGCCTCAGCTTCTGCCAGGAGGATTCTACCCCTTTCATTCATTTTATATATATTTTTTTATCCATTCTGCAGATGACAGTCATGTGACCAAAGTACCAGCAGGAAAAATTTACCCAACGGGAGTGTAAATTACATACTTCAGACTGCTTTGGGTATGGTGAGCTCCCAAAACTGCCTTGGGAAATAGCACAGGCAGCATTTCCACTGATGGGATTAAATGAAATCAGCTGCATTGTGCTGCAGCCATCCAGTTTCCTCTCTGGCTGCAAGTACTGGCACGAACTCTGATAAGCCTCAGATAGCGCTTCATTGAAATCAAAGAACCGAGACAGCTCTGACTTATTAGTATTCTGTGAAACAGTGGTGACTGTTTTTTAATTTAAAAAAGAGGAGGGAAAAGGTGATAAAAATCTTTTATTAAAAAGGGTGCTTTCTGTTTACAGGAGTTTTTATTATTCCTTGATGACAAAGAAACATCAGGGTCTCCACCAAAGCTTTGCTGCATGTTTGTAAAATTAAATTCTCCTTCCAGTAAATTTCATCTAGTTTATCTAGTTCACCTTAAAAAAACCTCACACATATCGTAATGCCTATGAAGAATGCTGACATGATAGCAAGAACTAGAAGCTCCTCCTTCCAGTTAAAGATGTGGAAGGACTCTTCTGACCATATTCTCCACAGCCCTTTATGTCTTTGGTCCTTTCACAGACAATAATATTGTCAAACACTTATTTCTGAGTGCGGTCTTAATTTCCTATATATATATAAAATATGTGCACATGCAAAGTATTGAGGAGAGAGATCAACAACAGCAAAGCAACGTTAGACTTAAAACCCCTCAGCACTCACTGTATGAGCAATCTAGTCAGGTGAAAGTTTCAGACAAGGTGACATAAGCTAAAACACAACATAAAGCAACATGCCTCCTACATCAAGTGTTTTCACCTATTAGAGATGACCCTGCATAATCCACTTATATTTGTGATGCATAAGCAGAAAAGGATACCGTCACCAAGGGTATCCTTCAGAGAACACTATTATGCACCCTCTCTGACAAATACAAAAAAATTGGTTACATGATCAGACATTTCAAATATAAAATAGTACTATAGCTATTATAGCAGGCACACTCAGAAAAAAGCAATAAATAAGAAAACCCTGCTGATACAGTAGGCCTAGAATAGCCCTGTGATAAAGAAATGGCTTTCTAAAAGCCTTTAGAAGGTCTGTGCAGACTGTGTTTAGTATAAAAATTAAAACAAATTAAAATATGACACTGTGCAATTTTTAAATAGAGAGTACCTGGTAACAATACATACACAGGCTGAAATTGGAGCCGTATCATTAACCACTGTCCAGTTCAATGAATTATTTTAGCCGACCTGATACAAAACTTTGTTTGACGTGAGATAGCTTAAGGCTTTATTGCTTTCTTTTAGATTTGGCAACTGAATTTATAATCCTTATTATGAGACTAAATATTGAAGTATTTTGGTTTAGTTTTTAAATCTAAACTCTCTCTGCATAACAGGAGGATAAGGTTAACAGTCAGTCAGCCGCTTTTAGCCACGAAATCTACCGAGATGACATATCAATTATTTATGGTTGAAATAGTGACAACTGTCATTAAAAGGGGGCTGAATATCTCCCCGTTTTCATCTTTGATATGCTTTATCTTGGCAGAAATCATTCTGTGAATTGAATATTTCAAGATCACCAGAGCCTGTTACAAAAACTTAGAAGTGGGTGCAGTTTTTCTTTGTCTGCAGCAATGGAGAAATAATGACAATATCATCTGAATCGTCTGAGTGAGCTTCATCCACAGACAGAGGGAGAGGAGGCTGTGATTGCTTCTCAGAGGATCTGGCTGAAATAATTACAAAGGAAACAAGGTCATCAATAAACAACACTGACAAAAACAAGCCCTTGTGGGAAGTGTAATATTCTCTGAGCCATTAAGTTTCCAGAATTACCTACAGTTACAAAAAAACTCTGATCTATCTTTTCCTGCAAACAACTACTCCTCTTCCTCTTTAGTGAAAGAGCGTGCGTGGCAAGTGTTGACGTACTGACCACACATACTTGTCTTATTGTCTTTAAATCTTTGCAAGTGGTCATGCACCACAAAGTAAAGCAATTTGATACTGAAGCCATCTCGGTTCATAAAAACAAATACTTATTAGATGGCAAGAGAAGGAAAAATTGACCCAAGTAAGTTTAATCCAACTAAAAAGGTCACAATGAGAACTTGAGTCAGACACAGAAAATGGAAATCAGTGAGGAAAAAAAGGATGGAAGCTCTTAGTGATTGTCCTTCACACTTTTATCTGTAAAATACCCAAAATTATTCATGTGCTGCACTACCTTAATGACAATAAAAATGGTAACCACCCTTGGTGTGTTTGGTTTTTTTGTGGTTTTGCTTCTTTGTTGTTTTTCTGGGTGTGTGATTCTATGCAGCTCATCAATTCCAACACTTAAAGAAGCACTCAGGGTATGAACAGATACAACCCTAATAATTCCAGTAAATACTAGAGGGATAAAATATATATATATATACACACAATACCCCTAACTTTTGACAAGCAGAACCAGCAGTTTGTATATCCTCTGCAAGAGATCTATGAGCTAAACGATGACAGCTATTAATACCCCCTTGCACAATACTGCCCCCTCAGCTACACTTATTTTTCAATTTAAAACATCAATTCTGTGAAAACACTATCTCCCACAGAAGAAAATCAAGATGACCTGTGGCAGAAAAAGAAAACAGACAAGTAAGAAGCTGTATGCTGAGATTTTGACACCAAAATGGAAGGGAAAACGGAGGGCATACAGAGAATATTGCTTGGGGAGTAATATTCTCTCCACGGGTCTCACAGTGAAATAAGAGGTTTCTGACACAGGAAAAAAAAAAACCTCCTGGTTTGGAAGAGAAGGCACATAGAGCAACTGGAATTTGGAATAGAGAAACAGGACCAGAACCAGTCCAGAAATAGAAAAGACAGTGACAGACAGAGAGCCTGTGAATGGAAAGACGGAATGCAGGGAGGCTGTTCCATTGACCTCAAGCTGCAGAACCAAAGCAGCACATGACTTCTTCAGAAAAATTCTCCTCTGCATCAGTCAACAAATAACGTACGAGTTATTTTTTTCAGGAAGATATCTGAGCCCATGGTATTGGCGATAAGGATGAGCAAAGAGAACCTCCAGAAGCAGGCATGATAACTGGAACATGCAGCTCCAACAATGAACAGATATTATATATGAAATAGCTTAATATTGTCCAAAACGCTCTTGATTATATCATGCTCTTGATGTCTGAGATTTTCTTGTCCTCATCTTCAGTTTAATATGCTTCTGAGGGACAACTTTATCTTTGTGCTTGTGACGGGGCAAACACTGATTAGACTTCAGGGTTGTATATAAATTCCTTATGATTCAAAAAAAAAAAAAGTCTCAAATGAACAGCTGTATCCAGAGTGGCTACTTATATTCAGAGAGAAATGCTGCCCTTAGTCAAGATTGCTCTGCATGTACAGAACATACTCTTCCTTCCCGCCACTCCCCTGACAGAAAGAGACAAACTGCTAAGTTTCACAGGCTGAATTGTTATTATCTGTTCCACTTCATGGGACACAGCAGAAATGGCTTTACAAATCTCCAAGTACTGTCCAGATTTTGAAGAGAAGCAAAGCAGCATTTGCTGCTTGCTTTGCATTTGAATTATATAACATTTCAAGGCTATATCACTTTTGCCTTTTTTTTTTTTTTAAAAGAAAACAGGAATACAGAAATTTATTTTAGTGGATACATGAGGTTCTTTACAACACATTTTCACCTTACCCATTCCTTTCAAAATAATGCCAGAAGACTAGTGAAATTAAATTACTTACTGCAATACATACTTCCACTGAAAATTTGAGATCATTGCAAGATCCAGAGATCACAAAATGCAAGTCTGGCCTTGGGACAAATGAAGCAAATGCTTGTTCAACAGCTGCATGATTTAAAGCTAAAGGAATTTATTTAAATCATTCAGCTGTTAAACAAGCTCCTTTTTCTCATGTACTCCCCAAGCTGCAGGATGACAAGTGAAATACATTACGTCGGGAACCAATTTTACTAGCAAATTTTTACGTCAGTCATGAGCTAGGAACGACTGATGATGGCCTTCCAGTTAACTTTAACCTGTCTAAGCTACATCAATTGAACACCAAAAACCTGCTATAACCAAACAGACCCCTGGAGCCAAGTGGTCAACATTTCTTCATAAGGTGGCATTTACATCAGAACACTGTCCTGCCTGCAGCAGGTTTTCCCTGACTTGTCTTTCGCGAGAGTTTGGTTAAACTCTCCATTGCACCACAAGCTAAAAACTAGAGAGCTCTTCAGCACAAGATAGTCTTTTGGGCAGTTGTGCAGTTACAGAAGCACATACCCAGTCTGTCTCTTCACAGCTACTGAGATACAATCTATCCTCATCACCGATTTTTGAAAATATCTTCCATATTCGTAAGATCAAAGCAGGTTATATTTGCTGCTGATCACAATTTCTCCTTTTTTATGTTCACCAGAAAAAGACTGCAAAGAAAACAGTTTGAATACTTATGGTCTCCTCTCTGTCCCTTCCAGTACAAATTCTTCCAGAACTTCTTCACCCATCACTTTGTCATCAGACTTTGCAATAAAAGTTAGCCTTGGAGACTTCAGAGCTAGCCAGTGACTGTGCTGTATTAACATGCATACTATGGCATTTACCAGACTAGCTTAATCTTACACCCTTCTTTGTGCCTTCAAAGCACTCTTCCAGAAGCACAAATCATTAGGACCTCTGTATTCACAACCCCTGCAAATCTGGCTTATTCCTCATTTCATATCTTAGAGAAACAGCCGCAGCTGCTTACAGCATGCTCTGATTCTGAGCAAGTCTGCAGGGACTGCCAGTTTTTCACTGACAAAAAACAAGTCAATGTTTCTCAGGTCACCCTCAAAGTTGCTCTTTTTACTCCAACTGGTCCATAAAAGCCTGAAATATCTCACTCTGGATAGAAACAATCTTTTTCAATTTGTTTTTAACTCCTTTGAGTTAAACTGCATGTCTAAGATTGTCTTCTCTGCATCACTGTTTTGCATTTCCTGCTCAGTGCTTCTAACATCCTCTTAAAAGCCTCTTTGGCTTTAACTCCATCTTCTCACAAGCAGCACCAAAGAACTCAGGAAGGAAAGCAAATGGCATAAGAGCCATAAAAAAAGACAGACATTTTCCCAGTTTGCATTATAGCAGCACTAGTTGGCAAGGCTATCCAGGAGTTCCATTTTTCCCCTTACTGCAGCAACTTAAGGCTGCTGAAAAAAAAAGTGACTAAATACACATGGCTGACCAGGATGGTTCGTTTTACCAGATGTCTGTCCGCTTCAGAAACTAAGTCAGGATGGTGAAAATACTCTCAGCTTGTCCATGGCTTTGGGCCCAAAATGTAGTGGAAAGTACCATACCACAGCTAGGGGGCTGGGAGGACTGAAAAGGAAGCAAAGTTGCAATCCAGGGGAACACCATGTTCCTTGAATAATTACCACTCACACTAAAGAGAGACCTTCCAAAACACAGCTGTGACAAAAAGGCAAAGCACTGTGAGGAAGCTGGTACTGACACTATCAGAGCTTTTATTTTTATATAAGGGGCTGCAATGTAAGGGACTTGCAATGTCATCCAACTGGAAGAAGTGCACACAGTGTGCAAAGTGTCCATTTGCGCATGTATGTGAATGTGCAAATGTTTTCTGTAAAATTGTGTGCGCACCCACTCAAAACACACATACTTCTGAACACAAAGGGAAATGAGATTACCAGGAAGAGAGGACATGGTTGAAGGAGGTCTTTGGGGTGCTGCTGCGACCGGTTTCTTCTCTGCAACATGAACTGCAGAAGGAGAATCTGCTTTCTCACTGGGTGCACTGGACACAGAGGGCCTGCAAAAAGACACACTGCATAGCGCGAGGCAGCCTGACTACAGAGGGTGTGCTGAGAAGTTTCTCACGTCGCCAGCCTCCGAGAGAAAAAATCTTGTCTCCTGCAGAAGTGAACTCAGACACAAGTGAGGTGACAGCTATGTAAGTCTCCTTGTAACCATGGCAGCTTATATTAAAAACTTTTGAAGCAGTAAACCCTGGAGAGAAAGGAAGTAGTTTTCAAGCCACAGTCACTACGAGCCTAAGCAGTAAGCAAATCACCATGGTTCTCCCGAGCTAAAGTCACTAAGTGGTATTCTAGCTTCTCCCTGTTCTTCCTCCACATAACCCTTAACTTCTACATGTCAGGGCTTCAGATTCATTTATATTAAGTGGGCATATTTGCAATCAGTTTAATGGCAAGTGTAAGTTTTATTTTGTGGAGTTTTTTTTCCAGAAAGTAATTATTTTACTTTACTTTTCCTCATTGCTATTGAAATAAAGAATGGAAGGCATTAATAGATTGTGGGAATACAGCTGTCAGAACATGTAGCAGGATATGGGAAGACTACTGCTGCAACACGAAACAGTTTTCGTTGCATACCCTTTGAATTTTCTCAAGACCAGAGCCACCCTTGTTGGAACAATAGCCTTGTCTTCTTTCTCTGCCAAGGAACCCACACTAAAATTCTATAAAAATGACACTTCTCCTGTAATAAAATCATTTTTGCTACTGCATGCTGCAGAAATATCTAATCCTCACTTACCTCTCCTCAAGCAGTATTGTACGGGCCAAGTGAGCCCTGAAAATGGACTGGATGAACATCACGATCTCATCTCTCTCCCCACAATCAGAAACCAAGCTCAAGGACTTTGACATGGAAGACATGCAGGAGTTCTGCAAAGCAATCAGATTAAAGAAAAATGACTGTTTAGATTGCACAGAATCTTGACAGAAACTTTCACAATCTTACTCCTGGTTGTAAAAGTGGCAGTAGAGCAAATATTCCCATCTTTTGGCTGGCAGTCTTTAAGGTTCTATAAGATTAAATCAACAGGAAATGCAAATCTGATCATCACACGTGCTTTGAAGCATCTATATTCAGTTAATGAAAGAGCAGACACCTGGAAGGGAAGTTCATTTATTTTCCAGGAAGGAAACCTTTCAAAGCCAAAGGAGGTAAGGCAACCCTCATGACAGATGCATTTTCTGCTTGTATCAAGCAGAAGTATTCAGTCCTACTACACTGGGCCAGTTTACTTAAATAAAGGTGCATGTAAACTGCAACCAGGACAACCTGGAGGGAGAGTTACAAATTAACTTTAGCCTGCTAAAGGTACAAAAGATGTTTATATAGTTGGCAAATCATTTACAGAAACTAAGTGTTTAATTGGTAATGAAATTTTTTCATATTTAGAACTGAGCCATCTGGAGCAAGTTGTGACAAAGGACATGACAAGCTTTGGGCTGAGCATGCAACACACAAGATTCCTTTACTTTTCAATCCAATCAAAGATGCTTTCTAAATTCTTATTTCTGAACATCAGTGACACAGGTTTGTCTACTACGACAAGGATTCATTAGCAAACACTTGAGAGCAAACACAGTTTTCAATAGCAGTCTGAATTCAAGAGGTAAAGGTACGTTATTAGGTGAAGGGAGAACCAGAAACAAAGAGCAGACCTAGCTAGAGTCCATAACGTAGAGAAGTTACAGTTTTACTTCGAAGAAAAACTGTGAACTAGAGAAGATGGAAAGGAAGGCTAGGGAGTGAGGCCAGTATACTTCTGGAATTATGGTGGTGCTGTCAAGTAGCACATTAAAACTTCACCAGGTGATGCAGAGAATGAAGTCTGGAAGTACAATATTTCAGACTGTAAACTAAACCAACGGGATGCCCGGATACCCATGTGCCCCAACAGTTACCTTGTCGGGAGATTTTGCAGCAGGCAGCCTGTTATTCAGTAACAGCTCCTGTTGCGCTAAATGCCCTCTGAAAGCTGCCTGAAGCACAACGACTGCCTAGCGTGGAAAGAAACGAGTAGATGTTAGCTCCTTTGAAAGACAGCAGCTATAAATTAAAAAAGAGTCCAAAAGGAAGAGGAAAATAACTTTTCCCCATGCAACCAAAACTCACTGATGGCTTGACATTTTCTTGTCTTTAAGAGATACATGCACATCCCCAGAGTACCACATTCACAGGTACTCTGCTGCACTCCAGAGAATCCCCAGCCTGAGATAGCCCATACAGCTCCACCTCCATGGTAAAAATTCAATCTGGGAAGTGTTTATGATTGATCTTACCAAATGCAGTTAAGTTCTACCTGCCAACACTAGCCTATATTTCACAAACAAAGCAACACGCTCCTATTTCGGTATGAGCTTCTGGCTATCCAGCAGGCTCTGGTACAATCAGAAATCAAGCTAGGTCTGGTAGACCATTGTGATGATATTGAACATGTCTTACCTCTCTACTCAGAGATTTTACTAGATGCTCATCAACAAAAAGCATACCGATGTAAAACAATGTGCTTGCATCACATAGTTAGAATTTTGCAAATTAATTTGTTCTTCTGTTTTGCTGGGTGTCACACTCACCTCATCCAGTGCAATTTCTTCTTTCTGAAATGAAAAACACCTAAGTTAAAACTTGTATGTATTTGTGATATTACCTAATAAATATTTCCCAAATTTTTCCCAACAATTAAAACACACCTCCACCTGATAACTCAAATAACAAACTTCGGGGGTGGGGGGAAGCAGCTTTTATCTTTAATTTCTCAAGTATTCACAAGGCCCACCTCACATGGCAAAAGCAGCATTATGTCACTGTCCACAGAACAAAATGTAAGGTTAACATGTTTTTTCTAGGTCATTTTGTCATAGTTGAGAGGAACTCAATACATAAAATTTCCTGATTTCTTTGGAGGATTTCTGCAAGGGGGATTTAACTTCTCAGTCATACTCCTAAGGAAGCAAGAGCAGCAGTGTTGCTTCAAACACTCCTACAGTTCTCTGCTCACCCAGACTCCCAGTTCAGAAACTGGCTCTCTCACAGCCGAAACAACATGGTTCTAGGGAGCAAAGGCAAAAGAAGCAGCAGGAAGGAGCTGAAAAAAGCAGTGGAAGAAAAGATGGTGGTAAGGAATCATACTGAGAAGCACTGCTGCAGGTCCTGCAGCCCAGCAGCAGGCTACTGTAGATGCTAAACAAAAGTAAGATTCAGAGGGCGATGATCCTCACTGTTCCCTGATAGAAGAATCTCACCTTGTTTCGGTACATCTTCCACTGTCTCTGGATGATTTTGGCTGCTTGTTCCTTCCTGTGATCTTCTTTACCTTCAACCACGCAGACTGGTGAAGGCTGCAAAGGAGAATCTTGAACTTAGAACACTAAAGACAGCTACAGTGAGACACTTTCCCATTTTAGCTGTTAGAAGAACACGGGAATGGAAATGTTTTCATTTAAACATACTCCTATTTTTCTACGCATTGCTACAGCAATAGGAGCTCCAACAGCGGAACCCACTCCTGTGCTGATCAGACATGGTTTGTATGTTATTGACAGACCAAGAACAAGTGCCAGGACACCCAATTTTGCAATTCTTCTCCAGGAAAGGCTGGCATTTGTTAAGTGAGGAGCTCTCCGGCAACTCTGGCCCCATAACCATGTGTTGAAACTTACTGATGAATTGGCCACCAAGCAACACCGACAAGACAGAGACCTTGTAGAAATTGGCATAACTTCTGTCTTGAAGAAATTCATTGGAGGAAAATGAAAGAAACTAAGAACATAACAAGACATTGTTCCAGTTATTTCTTCTGAGGTGTGGCTGCATATTCCACCTCTCACCATCTGATCCTTTTGATCCCTAATTATCCCACACTAATTGTCATACCTCCCTTGCCAAACAAAAGTGAACTGCAATTTTAGAAGACTAATTTAATTTGTTGGTGTAGAGTTCTAAGTAGAGGAAAAAGAGATTTTACAGACTTTGAAAAAACCCTCTTGATTCTGTGAAGAGGATTTATTTATAACCTAAAACCGCTGAGTTACAGCCTGAAGTTTAGCAAATGGATCATGTTATATTAAAAATGACAACCTACTATTAACATGAAAAATTGGTAGGAACTTAGTGATAATTACAAATAATGGGAACATTTCAGTAAATGGATGGTTACTGGCCAAGAATATATATAGTCTGCAGAGGAAAAAAGAGCTGTTTGTTGGCTGTTTTTAAAGACTCAAGTTACTTAGTATTCAAAACATCATCTAGCATCCATCAGCCTATAACATACAAAAAAGAATCTAAAGAATTGCACAGTATATCAAAAACCAGTACCCTCTTAAGCTAGTGGACGTTTTTATTCATATTTTTTACTACCTCTGTTTCAGGGTCTATTTATTTTTAAGCACAAACAATCAAAATCCCAAATAATAATTTTCAATTAGTTTTTAGTGATGATATACAAAGATATAAGCAAAATTAAAAGTCTTCTTTTTTTAAGTAAGACGACCACTTAAAAGTGTATGACTTTTGCAGTATTCCACTGAATAAGACAAAAAGCCATGGCAAGGCAGATAATCACTAAGAGAACAGCTCAAAAAAACCATGTTCAGTGGTGATTATTGAAACAATTTATCAACAAATGCTGGGAATTAACCATCATTCAGAACTCCCATGACAAGATTCAATGTCTCTCTGAAAAGACACAACTATTAGGTCAATTTGCAATATATTAGTTAGATGCAAGGGAAAATAAAAAATAAAATAAAAAAAAAAAAATCACAAAACCATGTGTCTGTACCTTACTGAGCTTTTCTGTTGTATCTTCTGCCATTTGTGTCTTCTCTTCCTCCAATTTTGACTCCAATTTCCCTACTTTCTGTGCCAGGTTCTGGATTTCCTCACTATGGTTGGAAAAGCAAAAATACTTATAGCTAGAAATTTTCTGTTGATCCTGCTTTGAAAATACTGAACCTAGCTCATGAGATTTGGTGCCTTTTTTTTTTTTTTTTTTTAAACACAGGTCAAAGTGGGGAGAGTGCTCAGATAACATGATACATATCCTTACAGTAACAGACATGTAACACCAGGTCTCAAGTTGTGATAGCACAGCCTTATATTACAATTAAGAAGTCCCAGGGTTACAGTGGTACCCTTGATACTATTAATATTGCATCTAGATCTGCTATAGTTGAGCATTTGTCTGCCCACATCCTTTTTTACAAAGCAGTAATGAAATAACTTGTTTTCCGTCATCCTTGCAGAGGACTATTACCAACAGCTACAGAGAATACACTAAATAAATAAAGTAATGTATTGGCAATGGTCTAGAAGTATAGCTTAAGGTAAAAGATACTAGTTTTTTCTTAGAAAGAGGAAAAAAAAAAAAGTCTCTGACCTCAACACAGCAGCTTGCTTTCTCCATTTATCTTACAAATTTTTACTATAATTTCTTATTTTTACTATACTTCTTACTCTTCCACTTCCTCCAAAACCACTTTGAATTTCTTCTCCTAGTAATTTACTCCATCCCTCCAGAACAGTTGTGCTCAAATGAATTTCCAGCTTCCTGCAGTTCAAATGAACTCTTATGGATTTTGAGCCACTTGAAAAGAGAATTATACTTTCTTTTTGTTCTGAAAGGATCTACTAATACAAAATGTGGCACCTTAAAATCTGGTCTTCTGTACTCTTTTCTTCCATCTTATTCTGACACTTCTGCAGCTCCAGCTCCACTTCAGTCTTAGCCTGGAGTAACTGCTGGACATCTAATCTACAAAGGCATAAGGGAACCAAAGCAATACTTAAGACATTCACACTTGAACACAGTAGTTATTTTTTGCTTAATCTTCTAAATAAAAGAAAAGGTTCTCAAATTTCTAAAGTAACTGTGTGTTTAAGTTCTCCTTTTCAACAAAACAAAACGCAAGCACACATTGTTCAGAAGCCAAAGGCCTCTTTGCACGCTCTCACTAAGCATTTTCCTTCAGGGGCGAGTTGACACGAGAGGCTGTGCCTCATCAGCAACGCACGGTTGTGCACACGTCTCTGCTCACGATCCGATTGACCTGCCTGTCCTTATGCACTGACACACCAAATGAGTCCAAGCATTACAAATTGCAAATCAATTGCTTACTGGGGAGAAAACAAGTCACAGCGCATCCTGTGGCAGAAGGCAGGCTTAAGTGGAGAAAGTGGTGGATCAGGACAAAATACGACAAATTCTGACAGCAAAACACTTGTGAGAAGTCCTGCCTAAAGTGAAATATAACCCTTTCAAAGGCTTTTCAGTTTCGATGGCAAAAAACATGCCTTGAAAAGTGAGTTAGAAACAGGCAGACATTCTCATTTTCCTTTTTTTTTTTGCAGCACAATTTTGTAATGCTAGTAGGACTAGAAGAAAGTTTTGAAACAAAAATTGAAGGGACCCTCAAAATTTGCTTTCTTGCTGAAAATATGAAGGACTTGTGACACAATTTCATCAGGCGATAGGAAATAATCAACTCACACCTACAGAAGAACAACACCTCAGGCAAGACTTGCACTTACTCTCTATTGAGTAAGAGATTTTGAAGTGCCTTCCTGTCACTCTTCAGTTTCTTCACTACCCGTTGGAGGCGACGACATTCCTCAACATGGTCTACCTGTTGAGAGACTGGATCACCCAGGTCTACAGAAGGTGAAGACGACACAGCAAGTAACTGCGATGACTCGCTCTCTGCTGACGACACCCTGGTGTTCTCCATGGCGCAGACTTTCTAAACCAAGATAAATTTACAGGAACCCCATAAAACAAAAAAGAAAAATAGTTTTATGCTCAATTTAATTTATTTAGGCCATGAGAAAAAAAATCAAACAAAAATTAATTTTAAAATGTGCATCTGTATGTAATAAGCATGAGAAAAGAAAAAAAAAAAAGAAAAGGAAGGGCACACGGTACAATATTAGTTTACATGTACATGCCAGAACGCACAAGGCTGATACACTGGAGGACTAGGTGCCATAAGCATAAGCCAGTGGTCTTGCATTTTCTGCTCAAAGACAGGTAAGATGTCCACATGATCATGATTACTTACTTTTTCTAGTTCTGAAATCCGTCTCACTAGCCTCTGCTTGCTCCATTCACTATAATCTAAATACAATAACACGGTTTTAAAAATGAAACTGTAGCAGTGAGTTAACGTCACTCTTGCTTTTCAAAACTTCTGTCCATATAGAGACAATCTAAAGATCTCTGAACCCTAACTTTAAATAAGCAGCAATGAAAAATGGAGAATGGTCTTAAAAGATCTGACTTCTACACCAGTTAGCTCAGAAATCAATATAAACCAGTCACATTCAGCAGTTCAACAACTGAAAAGCAGTTTTCCAGTGAAACGTTAAATCTTCAAGTGATTCCAGTCCAGAATTCTCAGGAATAAAGGAAATCAGGTCTGACTGGAGCAGCATACTCTGAAGTCAGAGAGAGACTCCTGTAAAAAAACTTCTCATTCCAACCTCTGCCTCTCCTGAATCTTCACCTTTGTAATAACTCCCTTCTTTCTACGATTGTAGGGTCCTGCTCTCAAAAACATCTTTCAAATGTACCTAAACCCCTTGGTCTACGTTCACCAACTTTTAAGCACGTACTTTTTGTTTTACTGGAAGGAGAACTGCTCAGCACATGATCTAGATCTTCTTTCAGCCTCCGATTCTCACTCTGCAGTTCCTTGACGTTCCTGGATAACCGCAGGACAGCAGCATTCAGTGCCTTTAGTCGTTTTTGGGTATCTCTGCCCTCTGTACTTGGAAACAGGGTCAAAACCAGAAATTTAACTTAAAAGCAGAGAACAAAGAAGCAGCATTAGGAGTGGAACAGCCTCACTATTCAAGTCAGCTAGCTAAATTATTGCCTCAGCTGCCCCTCAGTAGCATTTCTCAACATTTTTTACTGGAGGATTTATCTACTCCTTTAGGAAAAAACAAGAAGAGACCATCTTGCTCAACACTTTTGCAATTCTTTTCATTTGCGTCAAAGAAAGAAGATACTTAAACTTTGAAAATTCGTTTATTACTTTTACTTCCTCCCCTACTCTGTTTCACTAACGCATAAACACAGGTGCTTCTATGAGTTTTACTTATTAGGTTTTCTATCTCTTCTGTTAACCAACCTTATAGTGCTTTACCAGTGCTCTGCAGACCACTGATTTAAACACACTTAACTTCAGCCAATTGGGAAACTCCTCCGGAAAAGAGAAAGTTAACCTGCATGTTCTGAATTGCTTTCTTTCACTTAAACAGATGGAGATTGGGGGAGAGAGAGATAGCTATTCACAGATGGAATAACTCTCAAACCAATCCGACACACAAGTGAATTTTCAAACAACTGCGATTGCCGCTCTAATGTAAAAGAAACTATTCCAGTGAAAGTAAACCCCAGAGAAATTTTTTTCATTTAAGATACTTTTCAATCAATTAGAGATTTGAAACAGATCTGAAGAATACAGCTAACATCAACACGATAGTAATAAGAAGAATCTGAAAAACGAAAGCCTGCTATGTGTTAAAAGTGCCTTTTTAATTTTTCTAATAAAAGGGGGCAGAAATCTCAGCTCCTAGATGCACAGTTTTAAAGTTTGTTCACAAAGATTTCTAGTGACATGTAATACTTGTTCTTCACTGCTAGGATTCTTAAAAAATCTAAAATATTTACTTCTGGAAACAGAGCTCTGAAGTAACTGATGGACCTGCTTTTGGACAAAGGCCACTGCCAATCACAGACCAGTTTGTGAGGGAATCTTACATCCCGTCCACTGGAATAATTAGCACATCAGAGTGAAAAGCTGAATCTAATTTACCTTTTGGAAATTACAAGGAAATTAAGCCATAAAACCCCCCAAACAAATACATCTGTCCAGATATCATGCATGACTATTCATACAGCTGTACCAGCCAGGAAGAAAAAAACCCAACCAAACAGAAAAGTAAAATCGAAACACAACACATCACCAAAACCAGGAAGTGACAGGAATTACAGAAATCGTAACCATATCAGTGAGTGACACTATTTTAAGCCCATCAAAATCTAAATGAAAGACCTGCAGACCCTTTTGAGGACTAGTTTCTAGCTACAAATGGATACTACAGCTTCACATACAAATAATCATATTTCAGCATTAATACAGAAAAAGAGGAGCTCAATGTCATTCACTTCAGCCAGAAATAACACTGACAAGCATCATGAAAGAAATGCTCTCCTACAACTCTACGTGCCAGAGTCCTGACCTTCAACATCATTTATTATTTCAGTCCTCAGCCTCTCAACTAGACTGACAGTCATATAATGGAGAGGCTGCCCTGACCACTGCTTTTTCAAGGTTACAAACAAACGAGGACAGGAAAAAGACCTGATAACTGATTTTCACCCGTAAATGGCTTACAGCCTCAAAATGCTAGTCACCGAATGTCTGAGCCAAGAGATTTTTTTTTTCCATCTTCTTTTTTTAAAACAGTGACAGGACAACTTGCAGTTTTCAGCCCACAAGAGATATTGAATTAGGAAAACCCAAGTAGTGTATGTAGTGACCCATAAAGAGTTCTCAGATGTTTCTATCAATCCAAATAATTACATCCCAAATTAAGACAGTTGGCTGTACTTAACACTAGGAGGGCAAGCATACTTTGAAGTGGTGTGGTAACAAATTCTCCTATCCCACAGGACCATTACCCTCTTGTCAGCTCAAATAACAGTCACTTGCATGGATGCTTTTAATTTGCTTTCTTACTGCAGCTTTGTCTTTTGCCTTTGTGCTTTGATTTTTACTTCCTCTATAAACTGCTCACCCTCACTACCACGTACACACCCACGTACTAGTGACAACAACTAGTACAAGATTCTCTGACAGGGTCTTACTAGAGCCACTCACAGATATATGACAAAAGCTACCCTGACCTGTGGATCTGTCTCTCTGTACCACAGGAAAATAATGGTTTCTCTAAAATACCTGCTTTGCAACATACACCCTAGAGCAAGATGCAAAACTGACACGACAGTAAAATGTCAAACATGTAGTGCGCTTGTTTCAATCACCAGTGATGTCAGAATAAGCATGATTCTGGGGAAAAATGGATTTTATTTGAGAGATAAATTTTCAGAGCTTTCATGTACTTTCTAAACAGCCCTAGTATTTTTTCCACATCCACAAAATGATCTATCTACCGAAACAAAAAAAGTGACCAAGACCTATGCCAGGGCTGTGAAGTCAACGAAAGCAGTACTAAAAAAGCATATCCAGCAATCTAAATGACAAAATAAACCATTCCTGTGTGGTTGTTTTCCATCAGTTAAAGTAGTATATGAGTGTTATCTCAAATACAATACACAAATATTTGTCTCAAAAGAATTAAACATACTTTTTCCTCATAGTCTCAGATTTTGCCAGGAGGAGTTGGAGACGATGAACCTGTGAAATACGAAATACAGATTTCATTAAGGAGCTAGCTGTGGAAGCTGACGTTGCTAATGCAACACGTTTGCCCATTAGGTGACACCCCAGTTATATTTTGACTCAACTCCTCTCCAGTATGCACATCGAAGCACCCGTCAGACATACCTCTTCGTAGTAGGTTTCCATTGCCATCCTCATTTCTTCCAAAGTAGAATTCTTCATGTCTGCCTGGAATTTGCTGAAAACAGAATAATACAAAAATAATCCGGTCAGAAGAGCAAAGGAACCACAATATCTGTTGGTTTACAAATTCTAGGTGAGTGGTTTAGAACTGATAATACATTCTCAGAGTTCATTAAAACGTCTTAAGGAATGGAAGACTACAGATGAGAAATAACACAGATTTCAAATTTCCTTTATTAACTGATCCAACACCAGCCTCCAGTCCCCCAAGACACACCTAATAGTGTTGTCTTTCTCCTTGCACTGTTGTTCCAGCTTGAGAATCTTCTGCTTAAATTCACTGACCACCTAAAGAAAGAAGAGTTCACGAGTCCCAGAATAATCCACCTCTTCACAGAAGTTCTATGTCTTCACAATCTTGCTCTATCTTTATAAATGATATCTAATGAGACACTCCTACATAGTTCAGTACTTAGTAAATCATACACATCTGCTACCTTGTGACAAAGAGAACACTTCGAGAAGTCAGACCCCTAAGTTGTATCTGTGGTAATCTAACTAGCTTAATAGTATTTATACACAATCTTAACAAAAAATAACTCTGCCCATTGTCCTGCTAAATTCAAAGCAGTAAACAATACGGAGGATATTCCCTAAACAGATTCAAGACAATGACAAAGACGACTCCCTAAAATAACATTAATTCCTCATCTTTGTTACTGGTTTCTTACCTGACTATAGACATAACGGTTATGTGATTACCTAATCACTTATTCTTTCTTACTTCATTTTATTTTTTTTAAATCAGTTGTTTCAGTTTGGCAAGAAGCACGAAGGAAAAATTAAAGCAAAAGGTAATGAAGAAACTACTACCCATCCATTATCAGTCTTCTTCTCTGACAAAGCTCGTGCCAGCTCAGAGCCCTGCAAGACAGATAAAGCAAGTGACCAACCTTGCTACCTTATTCTACTGCCAGTTCCTTCCACAGAATTTTCTAGCCTACTCATCTCCACAGTCATTTCACAGTCCAAGTTCTCGTCCTGGCTTGAGAATACCAGGATAAAAATCCCTGTGCTCATTGTTTTATATTAGCACACTTCTCCCCAGATGTAGGTCTGCATGCAGGAAGTGACAGCCATAAGGAATTCAGGGAAATTCACGTCTTCTAACTATGATCCTAAATGCATCTCAGCCTCATGGGTCTGACAGCGAGGCTCATCTTTTGTTTACTCCTCCAGGTCTCAGCCCCACATCACGCGAGATGTTAACTCCTCGTTGCTCTCAGGCAAAATGTTCAGAAAGTGCGCCTCTGAAGAGACAGACTTTTAATTTTACCTTCAGAAATTAAAAGATCTTTGCTAAACAAACTTATCTACTCAATACGGCATGATCTTCCTTTGAACTGAGCTGGACTGGTGAGCTGAGACACGTCAAACAGAAACTCCTTCACACCAACCAAACCCCTCCCATACTCAAGCTCAGTATTCCTGGGAGCCAACACATTGCAGACTCCTGAAATCTAGAGAGACAAGGAGAAGAGGATCCCACTGCTTGGCAACTCCTTTGCCCAACTTTTATTCCCCCAATAAATAGTCACCCTGAAAGGATCCAACAGTTGTTCAATCTGTTTGTCCTTTCTATTGTTCTCTTCTTCTAGTCGACGAAGCTTAGTTTTCATTTTATCTCCCTCATTTTTCTGAGCTTGTATTGTCTAAAAGAGGGGAGAAAAATCATAATCACGTTTCAGAAACTGAAGCACATTGACTTTTCACATGGAAACACATTTTGGTGCCAATAACAATCTAATTACAATGGTCAGGATGAAGCAAAAGAGAAAAAAAACAAACCAAACCATCACAGTGGATCAAGGCTGACAGATAAGGGAGGTGACAGGGTAAAGATAAAACGTTTAACAGAAAGACAACCTTACACAAATGATCTACAACAGCCAAGATATTTGCCTGTAGGTATCCCTAGCATTCAACACACCCAGTCCCCATCTTTCATACACTGCATTAAACTGACAAATTATTAAAATGTGATGGACAACAGCAAAAAGAGGGGTGGGGGGGGGGAAAAAAAGGTGGAAGGACAAAGAAACCAAACATAATGAACCTTTTTAGCATCCAGCTAGGGCCATGGTTGGGGTTCTGGACTGGGTATACTTCAAGGCTTCCACATCCAGTACTCAGAAGTATCTATCACACCATAAGAACCATGAAATTGCCTTAAACAGACATAAGTTTAGTTTAGCCTTACATTACAAATGCAAAGGAATGTGGTGGATGTCCCAGCTGTAGAAACCAAAGTATTCTAAACCAGTAATGCCTGGACATCTACAGGTGGATGAAGCGACGCTATGACTTTCTGTGTAAGTATCAGAGACACTGTACCTTTTTCAGTTCTATAATTTCATCATACATATCTTCTTTTTCTTTGTAGTCAGGAGTTCCAGGAATGTAGCCTACAGAAGAAGGCATATCAAATAAGCAGATCTGAAAGTAGTATTTTTGATTAACCAGAAATCTTACACTTAAAGGAAAATATGCAGAACAGCACCAAACTGGAAAATAGGCTTTTTGGGGTTTTTTTCAGAATAAGAAAAAAATCAGCTAGGAAATTAATTTTAGAAATTGATGTGAAACAGAAGTGTTACTGTACGAAGCCTTTGCCAGATTTTACAGCAAATTTCTCCTCATTACTTCTTTTCTCTCTGGTGCTAGATTGAAATATCTGTCTACAGAAAGACACTTCACAGAAGACTGCAGTCTTCTCATTCCAACAAATCAATTACTTAAAAATATTTCCAAAAGATGTGCAGAATACTTTTCTCTATTTATGCCTTATGTGCAAAAGCCTACCACCTTTTAAAGTTGCCAGAAACTGTATAATACCAGTAACAGCATAGATGTCATTTTAAATGGAAGTGGGATTTTTAGGTTTACAGGTCTCCTTTGAGCAAAGCAGGACAAAAGTTTTAAAGTTCACTCTTCTCGTAAAACTCAATTGATTCTAATATCACAACCACATGAAAAAACACTTTCTAGAGAAGTAAAAAGAGTCAATTACAAAGAATTTCAGGCAAGCAGATGGTTTCCATCAACGGTTCCTAAGCTATGTTTTGCAAAGTCACAATAAATTGTCTACAGCTGGCCCATTGAACCGCATTATATTTGCAACATTTTCAGCTGCAGACGCATGGCAATTTGCAAAAAGTTCTGAAAGCCAGTAGTGATTCATTGCTCAAAAAGATTTGGAAACCCCTGCCTTCTCCCGTTTAGACATCTCAAAAAGTATCTCATGGATCGTATTTTGACACAAATATTTTAAACCAGGCTAAACTGAAATGGCTCTTGCTTTACTAAAACTAAGATCTTAAGCAACGTGTGTTTTTACACAGAAAAAACATCATCAGCTTTTATCTACCACACTATTACATAGTTTACCGTTACTAGAAGAACGAGAATGTTTTGGCTTCTTCATTCCTAGAGCTTCCTTCAGATATTCTGGAGTGCTACTAGAAATGTTAGTTCGTGTATACCCCATGACACCATCTGATTTCAGAGGATGGTTCATTCCTGCCAACAAAAAAAGGAAAAAATGGAGAAATCGTGGATAATTGTGAATTAAATTTGTGGATTTATTCTGAGCAAATGCAACATGGAAAGTTCCAGATGCTGTTAATTACTCCCTCTATAAATTCCAATGCTCCAAAGCAGATAACTCTAACCAAGCAAACAAGGAAATTACTTCCTATGTAGCCTATAATCAAATATAAATCTATTTTTTAAGATCTAATATGTTAACCTGTCCATAACACAAAATTTTATCCACACATGCAGATAAAGTTTCTGTACCTTGCTTCAGTGATCCCAGCCACATCTGCCTTGGGTTTTTTATAGCTGTATTCTTGAGACGTGCACTGTCTGTTCCCTGCAGAGACTGCCGAACTGCAGCTTTCTTAGGATATAGTTGTGTGCTAGAGCTGTATGGAGACTCTGTAACAAAAGAAAGCATCTCAGTGTTCTTAAAACGCCTGAGGTCACAAAAATTCTTTCTGTCTTGTGCCTGAAGGTTCCCAGACACAGTTCTATTACTTATAAAAATAAGATTCAACAGCATACTACACCATAGCTTATACAGAGCAATGGGATATTCACCAAAAAACCCCAATAATGAATTAAAAATCCAATTTCAAAAAATGAAGAGGCTTAGAAAGAGGCAGAGTGACAGTAAAATGACTCAATGCATGCAGAAATATTTACATGTACAGTTTGGATAAGCATTCTTATGATACTTGCACGTCTAAATCCATACATTAAATTGACCTTTCCATGAATGTATATGCAAATATCCTATGAATGAGAAAAATACGTATGGCTAAACAGACAGAGGTAACTCCATAGCTATTATAGCCATTTGCAATTTTCTTGCCATAATTAAAGAACAGAATTGGTCTGATACAACTGCTGGGGAGCCCCTCCCATTACTACTTCAGGTATTGCCATCAGGTTCAAACATCACCACCAATTCCACTTCAGACTATTAGTACAAATGTGCGCTATACAGGCTTACTAGGTAGCCTTCAAATTACTGAGAGAAGTACATACAGTAAGAAGCAATGTCACAGACATCACAGCTTAAATTAAATTCCACCATTTAAGCAAGCAAGGGGATTCATGAAAAGAAAGAAGGTAAGATGTGTATGTGCCAGGAGAGCGTGCCTCTTCCACAGCGTAAAGCAACATTTACAAGTACAACCGTACTGGATGGTAGGTAGCTCCAGTAATTCTAGATTCTTTCTACACAGCAAATATCAGCATTTCTCCAAAAAGACAAAGAAAGAAAAAAAAGTCACAACGTTTGCCATTAGAAGGGATAACATGAGAAGAAAATAGTTTATGCTAAAGAATCACAATTAACTCATAAACTTCAATATTTAGCCTATAAAAGTCTAATTTCACAAGTTACAGAACAAATCTCAGATAGGTGTGCTCTGCACACACCAGCGAATAATTCTAAAGAGAAAAATAAGATGTTTCAAATATATCTTCCAGTTTCTGCGTACCACGATATATCTTGTTCTGCAATAACAGAAGTACAAGAAAAAATCTTGGAACACTTACTTGGTGACTTTGGAGGCTTGTGAAAAATTTTCTTCTTTAACTTCTGGAAGAGAAAAAGGTTTTTTTTAATATATTTACAATATTTTATTCTTCAAAGATTTCAGTGTATAATCTCAGAATTGGCTTCAATCTCCATTTTATATGAAGATCATTTGTTCTAACAACACAAGATCTGCTGCATAAAAAAGAGAATTGGCAGCATTATATATATGCAAATTTCGCTACAGAAACGGTCACTGGAATTAAGCTGGTGCCTACTAAAGTTCTACGCTACAGACAAAATACAGTCTACTCATGCTCAGAACACTAAGGCCTTCCCCATCAGTATTAAACACGAGTAGCAGCAAATTCAAGATGATCACAGAGTAGAGGCTGATCTGTAGAACCATTTAGCTAAATAATGGACTTGCTCAATTCCATTAAAATGCTGTAAAATTATGACTTTGGCCCATAACTTGACAAAACAGCAGAGAAAGCCAAAGATCATTTGCAGCCCCCAGTGCTGAAAACTTGGAAGTCAGAATTACATCTGGAATTAGAGGAGGATTTTGAATCGAACTACCTTGCAATAACATTGGTGGCTTTTGTCTCTGAAGTGTGTCTTACCGACCAGGAGGCATCACATGGATTTAAGGTGTGCAAGAACATGCTGAGAGGTCTTTTAAAGCATTAATCCACAACATGTCATTAACAGAACTCACCATTTCTGTATCTGATTCACAGGTTATCACAGACAGGCTGTCATCTCCCTGGGAAAGAGAGACATTAACTGTGACATTTGCTACTAAATAATTGGTTACAATACACATCCAGAAAACCTTTTACTATCACAACAAAGTCTGAGTGCAATAAATTCAAAGGGTAAGCATGTCACCACTGCTGGAAAAAAACAGCATCATCTGCTCTAACACAAACATTCCGTGTGATATTGCACAAGTCACTTTAGACTCCTGCTACAGACACACACACTTGAGTGCACACAGCGCTGCAACAGCTGGACCCTCAGGTGCCCCGTCTTCCACAGTCCTGGTTCTGCATGAATTCCTCCACCAGTAAGAGATAAACAGCAACTCAATCACTTATCCCCTTCCTCGCTCACTTGTTCCTACTATTGCTATGCTGTGGGAGTGTTCAGTAAACTCAACAGGAGTGATTAGGCTGAGGAAAAAACTTCACAAACCACACAATCAAAAAAGCAGTTCATTTTTCCTCAGAGGGAGCTGACAAGTTTCCCTGCTTCTCAAATGTAAGCATATCCACAGCAGAAGGAAAATTTCCACTTTGTTTTCAAACTACCTGAATGTATGCTACCCTTAGGGAAGGAACATTTTCACCCACCGCTGACTCCATGGCGCTCACAGCTGCAGCGCCTTCCTTTGGACAGATGCTGATGTATCTCTGCAAGGGGCAGGGTGGGCTGAAGTATTCCGAGAATCCTGGCCGAGCAAGAGCTGGGACTGACAACTACAGGTGCTGGCTGAGAGGGGGCAGGTATACATCTCACACACTGTGCTATACAGTTTTTCATTTCCTGAGGTAGCGTTCCTTGCAGCACAATGATTCTTTTATTAATTTTAAGGCCTTTTTATCACTCAGGGAGATCTTTCTACCTAACTGCAGCTATCACATTAGGAATCATGGAACAAGGAAGGGACTCAGCCTTGAAAGGAGATGGTAAATAACAAAACATTCACCAGGATACAAACATGCAACAACAAAACCACTGCCGTCCTTGGCAACCTCACAGTCCCTTTGCTCTTTCAACACACGCCCAAAAGCCACCTACAAGAGACAACATGAGAACACGGTGGCTCCCAGCAAGGGGC